AAAACTCCATCTCTACCAAAAATGCAAAAAATTAGCCAGGCATGGTGGTGGGTGCCTGTAGTCCCAGGTACTTGGGGGGCTGAGGTCAGGGGATCACTTTAGCCTGGGAGGTCGAGGCTGCAGTGAGCTGAAATCACGCCACTGTACTCCAGCCTGGGTGACAAAGTGAGACCCTGTCTTGAAAAAAAATTAAAAAAAGGTCTTGGATCTGCTACTAATTAGCTGTTGTTTCCTTGGATCTTTTTTCTCTCTAGAACTGGGGGCTTTAAGCCTCTCCCTAGAATCCCGAAGGTGGAGGGGAAAAGGGAGGTCAAATTGGGGTTCCAGGCCTCCCACATCTACCCCATCCATGGCAGCTCAGCTTTTTATCTTTTTGTTTTATTTTGTTTTGGAGTTCTCTAAACTGACTAACTAGGCAGATAGGCCTAACGGGGAGTAGTTCGGCAGCTGCAGGTGCTGTAATGCCAAGAGGGCTTTAAGGGCCTAGAGCCTTAGGTAGAAGAAATGTAACTCTAAGATGAACATTTAGGAGAGTTATAAAGAAAAACATTTTTATCACATCTGTGGTTCTGACCAAGGTTAGATTAAGCCTTAATTCAGGAAAACAATGAGTTATACTTAAATTTTGGAAAGCTTTTCATGTATCACTGTCACCACTAGTGCTTGGTGGTGTTAAATATAGGTAGTTGGTCAGAGCAAGGAACAATTTGGCTGTTGCTTGTTTGTTCCCTCAATAAGTGTTGTCCATTCTTCATTTTATTCTCAAATAAATGGATGGATAGATGGATGCTTCTGTGCAAGGGTTTGGCTATGGGCGGTCTACAAAATGCTTATAATCGAATTATGGTGACATGGACATTAGAAAATGCTGCAGCCTCAGAAAGGGCTCTGTGATATGTGTCAAATAAGGGGTGCTAACCAAGGGCTATTGGTTTAGCCCGACAGCCTTCTGTTGATCTGGGCAACACTAATTATTTAACAGATAAAGAATTTATTAATCATTTAATGAATCTGATAGAACACTGGAACATAAGCATATCATTCTTCCTTTAGGTGGAATTAGTCAAAGAGCCCATCAGAAGAGATTAGGAAGTCCATATTTCCAGAAAAAGAATATGTAGAATTGAGGGGTATTAAAGCAGGTCCAGGCCAGGCATGGTGGCTCACAACTGTAATCCCAGCACTTTGGGAGGCTGAGGTGGACAGATTGCCTAAGGTCAGGAGTTCGAGACCAGCCTGGAGCATCTCTACTAAAAACACAAAAAAATTAGCCAGGCGTAGTGGTGCGTGCCTGTAATCCCAGCTACTTAGGAGGCAGAGACAATGGAATAGCTTGAATCCAGGAGGCAGAAGTTGCAGTGAGCCGAGATCAGGCACCGCACTCCAGCCTGATGACAGAGCAAAACTCTGTCTCGAAAAACAAAAGCAAACAAAAAAACCACGTCCATTCTCAAATCTCAAATCAGCAAATCTCCAAGAGTATCCATCCTGTACCTACCTGCCTCTGTGCCACGTACTCTGTGAGGGATAGCACAGAAAGATAAGACACTTCCTGATCTTGAAGGATGTAATCTCCCCACCCACTCCCCAACCCCCAACCCCCGCCTTTAGAAAAAACCCACTTTGTTTGGTGGTGATGGTGAAAAAGCAGCCTGATGTAGCACAAAGAATCTCTTGAATGCATAAATAGTGTGACCATCGGCTTGTCCATCTGCACCGTGGTTTCCTTTAGTTCTGATTGATTTCTAAGTTGAGCCACCTCATATCCTCACCTGTGAAAAAAGAAATACCTCAGACTCACCAGACTGCTCATGGTGCCTTGGCTTCCAGGGACATGTGGTTGGAATTCTGCTCTTACTCTCAGCTCCACCACTCTCCTCAGCACCCACCTCAGTCAAAACAGTGGTCTCCGTGCTTGGGACATTAAATCCAAATTCTGAGGCCTTGCTTTGCAGACCTCCCCTTTCTGACCATTTCCCTCTTCCCGACTCCTCTAGTCCCTTCATCAGTTCAGGCTCCCCACAGTGCCCCATCTTCCCTCTCCTTTTCCCAGTCTTTCTCTCCTGCTTTCTCTACCCGCATCACTCCCAGCCATTGCTTAAACCTCTGCAGTCCTTTCAGGTTGGTGGTACACAGCTGGGCACTAAGGTATGTAAATTCCCCACTCTTTCCCCAAGTGTTTGGTGTGTCTAGGCGAAATGGGATTAGGTCTTTGAATGCAGAGCCGTGCCTGTTTTTCCCGAATTAAGGACAACCGGGCGCCCAGTTAGGGCGCCCTTGAGAATCTGCAGGTGGAGAAGGCTCTGTGAGGGGCCAGGAGGGAGGGACGAGGGCGAGTCCGGGGGCCGCGCGTGTCCGCCCAGCTTCCACGGAAGGTGAAGGGCCTCTTTCCTCGGCGAGGCAGGCACCGCTTCCTCAGTTTCCCTCCGCCGCCTCCGAGTGCGCCGGGGCCGGGCCCAGCTGGGGAATCCGAGGCTCTGGGGGAGGGGGTGGCGGGAAATGGTGCCTCGCTCGCCCCAGCGACATCAAACCCTCGTTTGGCGTGCGAGGACAATGGCTGTCTTATTTTCTCCATTCGCCGCGCACAATGCCGGATTCTCTCATTCACCCGCGGTGGTGCGAGCGAGGTAATTAGCCAGCGCCATTCAG